AAAGAATAGTGTGGCTTTGATATGATTTCTCTTTCACATGTCTTTTGATTCTCAACTTGTTTGTTTATTACACAAATGAGGGTTAATATGAATATTCACTGAATGGCGCGCTCTGACACAAATGTGCATGTATTTGACCATTAAAGCGCTCACATTAAGATGGCGTTAGATGTGTGTGCTCTGCTCATCTCCGAGCCTGACCGAAGCTAAGCGCGGCGTGTGCACACACACACACACACACACCAGCATGCGCTCTTTCACGCTTTTAAAAATATGAATGATGCGCATCCCATGCTGCAAACGTCACATTACAGCACATGCTTTTAGTCATTTTCACGTGCAACTGAGCTTTGCAGAGCAACAAATGTAAAACTGGAAAGGGGGCGGTATATGATTGAATAATTGTTTATTTCGATTAATGGTTTTTCATAATCAATAGAAGCCAAAATCGAGATCGAAATCGGATTTTCGAATAATTGCACAGCCCTAGTGGGCATAGATTAATTTTTTTAAATGAGATTCAACTCGGAATTAATCTAGATTCATCTAGATTAAAATGGCTCATATAAAATTTGGCAAAGGCAATCAGACTATGTGTGCTACCAAAATAATAAGTCTTTGAGAACAGGCTTCTCAAGCCAGGTGGCGCATTAGACCAGGTGCTCATCTCCTGTTTCCAAAATGCATCACAAACTGCTTGAGAAACTGTTCTACTATGATAATTGGTGATGAAAATAAATTCTGTTCATCAATAAGATGTAGTTGTGTTTACCAACTGTTCATTCAGGTAATGTCTCTCTCATTTTTTATAAATTTCTGCTTGGGAGTTTTAGTTTTAATCCAGTTTTCATATACCTCTTCGCTTTAAATCAACCTTAGTAAGGTTAAACTTCTCAGCATAGTTCAGTTCAATTTATTTTCATGTCTATATATAGATTAACACAATGTAGATTGTCTCAAAGCAGCTTAACATAAATGAAAAATAGAAAACAAAACCCCAGAATTTTAAATTTGTGGAACATTCCAGCAACTCAGGCAAACAGGAGAGTACTGAATGCTGGTGTAGTTCTAGTTAAATTAACACAGATTCAGTTCAGTATAAATGTAACTAGATAGTTCCCTAGATAAACCACTGTTTAAAATGCTTAACTTAAAGACATTTTAAAAATCCCTATTGGAAAAATATTTGTGCACTGTTGTAAATGCCTGCATTTAAGTTCCATGCCGGTCTCTGAAGCTTTATTCAAGTTCATATAACTGAACAATAACTGTGTAATATATGCACAAGCTTCATAGTTTGTTACCATTTACCATGGTAATTTCACACAAGTGGTCACAAAGTCCATTGTTTCAACACATCGCCTGCCAAACCTGTTCAACCTCCCCTTTAAAACTGAAAACAACCAGCAAACTCCTTTAATGTTTCCAAACTTTGCCCTAAACATGCCATCATGCCTCACACAGGCACTCAGACACTAGAGTTGTTGTAGTCTAATGAGTTGCATGTCTGTGAGACTGGTTATGTGTTCATTAAGCGGAGCATCTCTCAACGGCATTGTAGTTCTGCAGTATGGACACAACCCACACTAATTACATAGTGCACTGAATTAAGAGCGCGCCGGGAGGGGGGCCAAAGACACCGAGGAGACAAAGAGATGGCAATGTGTGTCTGAGTGGCATGAAAAACAGTTTGTGTGATAGTTAGTAGAGAAATGCTGATATTCAAGAATATATCGTGATAATGCACAATATTGATACTATTAGCACCAAAAAACTGTGATTATTTATTATTTCAACTTTTAGAGTGCTTTTTAAGAATATTCAGGTTGTAAATGCAATTCATAACCACGTTTAATGACTGAAGAATCAATTAGTTAGTTAATTAGCCTACTAGTTAAAACATTAATATATTAACATGTTAATCTGGGTTATCACATGCTGAAATATTAATTGAAAATTAAGTGACCTTTTTTAGAGCTTTTGCACATTAACATTGCGCAATAAAGTTCCAATAGTAAACATTAGTTCATTTAACTCACAATGAAAACTGCAAGAGCTTTATTAATCTTAGGTCATCTTCATTTTGTTGTTAATGCCGAATAATGCATTAAAGGTGCCATGAAACACTTAGAAATGTGCAATTTTATTCAATGTTTGAGGTAACACAAATAAAGGGCGAGGCATAGAGTAGCCCCTCCCCTTTAAAAAATAGCCAATATAGTTTTAGTTTCATCACTTCACTGCCAGTGTAGCCTCATTTACACTACGAGTAACTAGCAATAGCAATTGATATCCGGCTACCTCTGTCTCCGTCTCCGACAGCGAACATTGGCGACGAGGTGGGCGTGTTGAGTGACTCAACAAAGTTGAGAATCCTTCAACTTTATGAAAATGAAGAGCGACTTTCTTAAACGACAGCTCTCAGCTTACTCAGAGGCCGGTTGTATTTTCAATGCTGTAGACCTACAGACCCCTGTGTTTGCAGCATCCAGAGCGACAGATAGCTACAAAGTCGCTGTTAGTGTGAGTGGTTGAGCTCAAGTGCAGCAAATCGTCTTGGAATGTCAGACACTAGAAGGCATTTAACTGGTCAAGATTTGAGGAAAAACTAAACTTTGAGATAATATGAAAACAATCGTTGATACATTTAGGCAGAAGTGACAAACTGCAAGCTTTATATGTTTATATCAGTTTTTTTTAACAATACTGATATCTAGATTAACAAAACTGACGTGTTTTTTATTTCACTGAACATTTAAAATGGCAGTCGAAGTCTGATTGTAAATTGAAACAGTTTAAGATTTCCGCTAAATTAATTTTTCCATGGCGGGGCGCCAAACCAAAATTCATCCCAAAATTCATACAACTTTTCATTCAAAACATTCAGTCTTTGTTGTTTTTTTAATAGCAGGTTATAATCGCACCAAAACGTATTAAAAAGTAAGTTAATTTTAACAGTGCAAACTTTTCTATAATCGTAATAGTGCTGTGCGTTTGTTTAACCCTTTAAGGTTACATGCTGACTGACTGACTGACTGAGTGACAAACAGGGCTGCGCAATGCGTGAGGCCAGCAAACACGGCGTAGCTTTCAGTTAAGATGAACACTGTTTACATAATTATACTTTACAGCTAAAGGTCTATGGTTCTGCATATAATGACTTTATCTTGCTGGAGTTTATAGCCATTTAACTTTACTTTAGGATGCATTAATGCCGCTCGGTAGGTCTATTGGAGACGTTCAGAAATATTCCTTGCAAATCTAATAAATGTTGGACACATACTCTTTACATAATTGCACTATATTGCACTTCAGCAACATTTATTTAAGGGCGTGCAAGAAGTTTTGTACACAAACAGAGGAAATCGGTATGCAAGCGAATAGATTTACATGCTCGCATTACATGTATGCGACCTCGACTTGTAATACTGTGTTTACGACATTTGTCATTGAAATAACGCAAAAGGTAGTTGGTGGATTTGTGTAAAAGGCCTGCCGCCACAGCTGAAAAATCCTAGAGGAAACACTGGAGTTTATTAAATGTAATTAACAAAATTGTATTGTTTTTTGACCAATATGAACATAGTAACTGTAATAAATTTGTTTTTTCTCACTGTTGATCTTAATCTGTTAACTAACATTTACTAATGAGTTTATTGTAAAAAAAAAAAAAAGACCTATTATACACTTTACAGTCCTTTTGCCGTTTAATTAAATTGAAACATTTGTTTACTCTGAACAATATTCAATAAAGCAATACTCTTAAGTATTTGTATTATAACCTGTTAAAGTAATCCTTACTGTAGCTTAAGTCAATACCGTGATAATAGCGTCACCAAATAATCGCAAACAAAAACAATTTGAACTGTCATATAAACCTACAGTTAGACAAGAACGTGAACTGTTTCAGAAGAGAAGGGTTGGACGAGCAAAGAATGACTCTGTGAAAAAAAGTATGAGGGACAGAGAGTTGATGGGGGAGGGAGAGTGGCAGGGGACCTCAGGGAAGGATCCTGGGACAATAGTCCTCCGTTTCACAGGGCAACAGAGGAGCTCTCCCATGCATGTTCAATTCCCTCCCCCAACCCTGTTACCCCCGCCATCCCACCCTCTCTCTCTCCTCTTCAAAGAAAAGAAGCACTCCTGCCTCTCTCTCTCCTTTCAGCTGCCTTCTTTTTCCATAAGTCCGTGGCTTCTGCGAATACCCCACACACTTTACAGACGCAGAAAGTAGACACTTTCGGATGCTGGAACCAAACATGTGCATCCAAACAAACAGTGTGCATCACAGCTGTTTACAGCCCCATCAGTGCTGCTGCTGACATGGCTTTGAAGTCCATCAGACTCATCCCGTGACCACAGGAGGCCACATCCTGTCCAAACTAACGAGGGAGACACGAATACACTCCAGAAAGGCAGGAAGGCAAAGCATTAGCTATTCATAACTGAAGTAAAGCGCATCTCCGCGCGTAAGGCTACATTAATATTTCACAACAGATCACGTCACACATGATGAAGGCTTGTGAATGTCACGAGCTGTAAAACCGCGCGTAACGCTGGCGTTTATATTAAGAAATAGCGTAATTTAATCGATTGACTGTTTCGTTATTTAGTAATCACTTTATCAGTGAAACTTCTGTAATTATGTTTTGTGGTATAATTTGGTCTTCGTAGGTTTTAGTATTTAGCCTATTGTGTTGATTTAATTGAAAATATGTAACTTTTGTTTGCCATTATTATTCCAATGACGACATACTCTGGTATTAAGCAGGCAAAGGTTGTTATTGTTATTATAACAACAATAATACTATTGTACTTTAGTATAATAAACTATGAATAACACAAAAATCTCAAAAATAATTAAATGCACAAATCAAAACAACGAAAACCCAAACCTCATGTTCCACTTATTACATAAAGCTCGATAAATAGTAAACATAGCAAGTGTAATATAAACAAATAAGTACATTAGGGGAGGTTAGTGCACGTTGAAGACTTACCAAAAGTGAAATTTGTAGAGAATTGTATTCGCTCACATGTCCAGGCTTTCAGCGGTCCGGATTGCCATCCTGTGTCTCCATCGGTCCATCTGACCATTCCAAACAATCCGCTTGGGGCGGGGCATGTCGGGTAGTTCGCACCAATCAGCATTTTGGAATAAGAATTTAACGCGCCACCGTTTGTCACACTCAGCCTATCAGATGCGGGGAAAAGGATGATTGACAGAGAGTCCCCCGGTCATTAAATCATTGGGCGGCTGTGTGAAGGCGGGATTTATCTGGGGATATTAGGTGGGCTTTAAAAACATCACAGCTAAATGATTCATTAAAGTAATGAAGTTCTACTTCTTATAAAACAAGAGATTTACTAAAGACCATTGTGCGTCAAACGTTTGGTAAATGGGACGTTCAAAAAAAAGCCTAAAAAAGCAAATGGTCCACTTACCGCGGGTGATGGGGGAAGTGTTGATTGAATATGTTGATTGGTTGTCATCAAAACCGGGACAATGTGTCTGAACGAATTAAAATCCTTTTAACTAGCTTCAATAAACATTAAAAAGGCAAATTATCATTCATCACCGTGAACTTATAATGGTTATTTTTCTGTCAAAAAGTATTTACTTTTTATTCTGTGACAACTTTTCATTATTATTTAAGTCTATTGTGTACATGTTATTACTGTTTATTCAGAAACTTAATCTCCATAAAATCTTGTCTTTGAGTTGTATGAATGACTTTAGGACTGTATTAAAAACCTAACAAAACATTATTGCAACAAACTCTAAATCTAAAAAGTTTTTTACGTTAAATGAAATCATTTTATTAGCATAAATGCAAGCATTTAACTCAGTATTTCATGCTGCAATGGTTTGCAAAATTTTTTGCAATTGTAATGCTTATTTCTTTTTTAACGCATCCCAATCAGATCAAAATGGATTAGTATTGGCAATGAGGGCTAAACTGTTAAGTTAATATAAATGAGACAAAATTAAAATAAACCTTTTTTGCACAAAACTAAAATTAAATATAGCCAAGATCATTAAGACCTACCGAGGTGGAACAGGTCAAAATAACTACTTCACAGATGCAGCTTTACCACAAATGAAAAAATAAACTTATAATCCTTCAAAAACATAACTGGATTACTCTAGAACTCATTTTAACAACACAATATAAATATCACAGATTTAGTCGCATACTCAAATGACAATAGGCAAGAAGCTTTGGTCACTAAATTCATAGATAAAAGCTTTAATTAAAACCCAAACGCACCACTGTACTCTAATAACCTAAAAATTATAAATCATCCATTGCATATAAAAAAGAAAAAACAAAACAAAACAAATTCCTAATACAAAATTAACAGTAAAAGTCAGTGCCAATAGCCTAGTGGTTGAGCACACCAATATATAGCACACCATAGTGCTCACGGTGAACCGAGTTCGATGCCCAGCTAAAAGTACTATGCCAGTCCTTTCCCTCTCTCTGCTTCCGATGCCTTCTTGTCTGTCTTTCACTATCCTATGACAATACAAAGGCTAAAAAAATGTAAAAAAAATAATGGAAAATTATAAAATAACCATAAAAAAGGCATTATTGATTAAATACACTCAAAAAAAAAATCCGCAAATATATATATATATTTTTTTTAAATGCTTCCACTTTTATTGTCAGGATATTTGTTTCATGTAAAATATTTCATTACAATACAGTACAATGCATGTTCAATCTGCTGTCAACACAACTTTTGTCATGAAGTTCTAAGGCCGATCATTCACACGTAATAGTCTGTCTGACAGCAAAATGGAAGTTGCTGACCTCTCCTAACGTAAAAACCAAAACATTAAATTATTAACTACTAAAAATCAAGTTTGTTGTTTTCTTTTCTTTTTTAAATCGCCTTCTACCAGTATAATCCAGCAGGGGGCACTAGAGGTTCTCCTTATGCTTCAGTCAGCAGCTCCAGCACAGAGAAATTCGGTCCCCAGCAATGGGCTAAAAGAGTGAGTGCTTCAGTATTTGTGTGTATGTGTGTGTACGTGTGTGTGTGTGTGTACGTGTGTGTGTAAGGGCAGACGGATAGACAGACAGTAGACAAACGTCATTCTGTCTTTGCTGGCAGTCACATAGCAGCTTTAAGTCTTGGAGAGGCCAACAGATTTTCAAAGTGAGGGCAAGAAGGACTGGAGCTAAAGAGATTGGACCAAACCAATCCAAAACCCAGTCTCACTACATAGTGCAGCTGTTCAGTACCACATATTGAGAATGCTTGTTGCTTTTTTGTTTTTCTTTTTGTGTGTTATTAATCACAGACTTGCAGCGAACACTCAAACTATCACCAATGGAACAAATATCCGTTTTTCATCAGCTTTTTTTATTCCCACTACTTATTTCATTATTTTTTCTTTCTCCTTGTTTCAGCAGAGGATAATGTCGGCTGTATGATAGGGTGACGCTTTGTTATGTTAGCTTTACGGTTACTGTTCCTGCGGTGTCTCTATGGAAATGCTGCACAGCAAAGCGCCCAGTGGGGTAAAAGAGGGAGGTTTGGCTCGAGGCCACACCCTCCTCCCTAAGTACATTCTCCCTATTGGGCACTGTGAGCGGAGGGGTGTGGCCTGACTCAGTAACGATGGGTCTGGTGCGAGTACTGTGGAGGCTGCTGGGAGGTAGAGGAGTATCCCATGCTGCTTTGGGGCAATGATGTGCTTGGTCCTGGGTTCTGGTAGGCAGCATGTGGATTGGAGCGCTGAAAAACAGAGATTAAACAGTGTTGGTGACATACTGGGTTTCCAAAACAATTGTGGAAAAGAAAAAAATTGGGCATAAAGTTTGTTTAAAAGAATAGTTCTCCAAAATAAAAAAACTTTAAAAGTACAGTATGTAAGTTTGACACCCAGTGGTTAAACTAGGTACTGCACTCCTGGATCAAAACAGATTTTCATTTGGCTCCTCCTCTGGCAAATCCGTGCGCAGGTTGCCAGAATGAAATGTGCCTGACTATTGAGCCTAAAGGCTGATTTTCACCGTTTTCCAACTAAAAGCAATGGTATGCGATAGAAGGTATATTTTCTATACTAAAAGGAGCTTTTGTCCAAACCAAGAACTGAAATTTCTATTTTAGAAACAGCTTCTATTTCTCACTGGTTAATAGCAATCAACTTAGGGTACTCCTCATGTGCTTTATTCACTGTCAAATTCTAATTATGCGAGTTTGAATGCCATTTTACAAGACATTTATTGCCATACTACTGAAAGCAGCAGCAGACAGTTCACCTCAGATCTCGAAAATAAAATAAACCGTTTGATACTGAACTATACAGCTGTGACTCAGTGGAAGACAACACATATTAGTGATTCAGCATGTACATTTAATAATGTTAAATAGGTTTCATATGTATCAATTTAATTATAAACCTTACCATTACGCTGGAGTGCAGTGCGTGCACTATTCTGTGCTTCTGAATGGCTGTATTTAAATTACTGTTGTTTTTCATCTGGTGCAAACAGCCAAATGTAAATCTCTTCACATAGTATGTTGTTAGGACACGGTTATACAATGTATTCTGCTCACCTAATGTTTACATTCCTAATCTTAGTATTATTTGCTAATTAAAAGACACCTCGTTGATCTCTAAATCTGCTACTGTTAACCGGAGGTTGCATTTCAGTCGCAGACACATGCTTAAAATATAATTAGGCAAACTGGGACTGGGCGGGTGAAAAGAACCAAAACAAAGACAGAAGTTCTGGCACATTTTTAAAGCAGAATATCTGACTGTAGCATTGTGTTTTAGATAAACAAAAATCTTCACTTGGCATGTTTCTTAATTATCAGCAAACATATTATTGTAATTGTACGCTTTAGAAGAGTAAAAAAAAATATATATATATTTATTTATATATATATTTATTTCTTATATACAGCATCCTTAAAAATGTTGTTTATTTACCCTCACACCGTGTCCTAACTGCATGCGATGTGACAATATTGCAGTGATAAGCAATTTGTCTGTATGCACTAAACGCAACAGAAACATTTAACTTTAGCCACTCAGAAGCACAGAACAGTGCACCAGACACCCAATAAAATATTAGGGTTTTTAATTAGAATATGAATTTTTTCATTGTAGTATCGTACAACACAATTTGTTTGGTAGCTTTTAGACTCTGACAGCAATAAGAAATATAGAACAAATAAACAAAAGTATCAACAATAAATACTTATCAAAACTATTCAACATTATTAAAAGTACATGGGCAACTGAGTAAATGATGTTGCTGGTTTGCAGTCAAAGTTCTCACTTTCATTTTCAAACTATTTGATAGTTATTTTATTTAAGGTCTGTGGTAAAATATGTGCTTCTGCTTTCAGTATGGCAATAAATGTCTTATAAAACTGCATTCAAACTCACATGGGTAGACTTTGACAGTGAATAAAGCTCGTAATCAGTACCTGAAGTGATCATTGTCATAGTAGTTTATACTGTTGTTCAGGCACAACATCGCAACAAATGGAAATAGAGTGAAATTTTGTACAACATCTACAGACGGTTCGGACAAAAACTCTTTTTACATGGAAAAGGAAGTGCATAAAGGGCATAAAGTCAATTGCTACTGGCACTTTGAGAGCTAAAAAAAAACATACACAAAACAAAATACACAAGGAATGAGGATTTTATGAAGAGAATAAAATCAGGCCACATAAGTAAAATATTGTTCCATTTCTTGCACAGACTGATTATTTATAAGGCCTTGTCGTATATTTAGGAGCGCAAGTAATAATTTTGTGTTGCCTGTATATTTTTTTGAGTGCCTGAAGCTACAGATTTGCATGTAGAAATCACCAAAGACAAAATCTTCTATAATGTTCTAGTGAAGAAAAAAGCCACCTACATCTCAGATGAAATGAGGGAGCATAAATGAACAGCAGTTCATTTTTGGGTGTACTTTCCCTTTAAGATCCTAAAGCTTGCAACCAAATGGTTGTGTCAATGTTTTGAATGCAAAATTTTACTAGGTGGTTCATTTTAGTTTGCGGTAAGG